GGTGCATGTGTTCTCATCATCATCCGAAGTAAGTTTTGTCCCTTGCATGTTTGAATGTTTTTAAATTGGTCTGGAAAAAGTTTTGGGATGTTTTCTGAGGCTGGAGGTTCTGAATCAATTTGCTAATAGAAAGTGTTGGATTATGGTTTGAACTTCGATGTGTCGAGGCTTAAACTAGTTACTGTAGAGGTGCAAGTTGAATTCATAAAAATCGATGAAACTGAATGAACTGAGTCAGTCTGGTTACTGATTGTTTGGTTTTCAGAGTATAAAACCAAAAATAATTTAGTGGGGCGGGTAGTTCGTATTTCAAAAGAACTGATTTCTTCAATTGATGTTGATTTATGGTCTTCAAAAGTTTCTGGATTGGTTGTTGAATGGAGGTGGTAGACTTTGTTCTATGTGATTATTTAGGAGAAATTGTTCGAGAGAGAGAGAGAGAGAGAGAGAGAGAGAGAGAGTAATTTGAGGTGGCTGAGTTTACAACTGGCTTTTATTAGGCAGCATTATTGTTGTAAATTATTTTCTCATGATCCCTAACATGCTCATCCATTCAATCAGTTGCTTGAAAAACTACATGAGAAATGGAGTTTGGTGAAGAAGAAACCATATCCAGCAATGTATTCCAGCATTTTTGGTGGAATCACAACAGACCCAGCTCTGATGGTGATTCCTATTGATGATCACATGGTTCATCGAGGCCACGGCGTGTTCGATACCGCCGTTCTTTTAAATGGGTAGGTACATGGGGATCTCTCGTCAACTTTAGTTCAGTTTCTCGAAAATTCTGAAGATGCTAAACAATTCTATTTTAACACAACTTTCCTTGGATAATGGTCGTTGTTTTGGCGTCTAACAGACATTTGTATGAATTGGATGGCCACCTCAACCGCTTCCTAAGATCAGCTTCAAAAGCAAAGATCTCCCCTCCCTTTCCTTGGTCGATTCTTCGGAGCATTCTTATCCAATTGGCAGTAGCATCACAGCTCAAGAAAGGGACTCTAAGATACTGGCTAAGTGCAGGACCTGGAAATTTTTTGCTCACTCCTGCTGGAAATGCCAATTCTACATTTTATGCGGTAGCCATCGACGAAGACTTCTCTCAATGCAAAGAAGGGGTTAAAGTGATAACATCTACCATCCCGATGAAGACGCCTCAGTTTGCAACGATGAAGAATGTGAACTACCTACCGAATGTACTAGCCAAAATGGAAGCTGAAGAGAAAGGGGCATTTGCTTCTATTTGGGTTGATGAAGAAGGCTATATTGCAGAAGGTCCAAATGTGAATGTTGCTTTCATAACCACTGAAAAGGAGCTTATCTTGCCTTCTTTTGATAAGATCCTCTCGGGCTGCACCGCCCTCCGGCTTCTAAAGCTAGCTCCAAAGTTGGTTGAGGAGGGGAAGCTGAAGAGTGTAGGAACTGCAAACGTTACGGTGAAGGAAGCCAAAGGTGCTGCTGAAATGATGTTCGTAGGAAGCACGCTTCCGATACTGCCAATCATCACCTGGGATGAAGAACCCATTGGAGATGGTAACAACTTTTTTCTGACATAAACTTTTGTTGTTAAAGTGATAGTGAATGAAATGTTCTTATAGGAGATTCCATTGATCCTCTGTAACAGGAAGGGCTGGAGAATTGACAATGGCGCTATCTGATCTGCTTTGGGATGACATGGTTTCGGGCCCCAAAACGGAGAGAGTACCGGTTCCATACATGTAGTGGAACCGAGCCCGGTAGAAAGGATGTCGAAGCCTGCTCAGGAATGTTATCAACTGAAAATAAACAGCCACCTTATTCTTATTGTTGCCTGTTTTGGCCATCTCTGCTTTCTCTGGACATGAATAGAAGAAAAATATCTATGGAACCTGTTCTAATGGCAATTGTTTTTTGGGTTTACTGTGAATAGTCACTGCGAGTGTGATTGTTTTTCCTTTCGAAACTCGATGCTTGCTTAAGTTTCGAAACTGATGTGTTCTTGCTTTCAATATGATGAAGGCGTCGAACAGTTGAAATTGTTTCCATCAAGTAGAAACTATCTCAGGCTGATAATTCATATAAACGTTATATTCAAAGAAATGAAGATGAGAGAATGGAGCCAAGTAACAGAGAAACTAAAAGCATTAAAAAGATGCGAGAATACACACGATTGAGAGAATACACACAACTAAGAGCTCATTTGATTGCATTTCTGTTTTCTCATTTCTAATAAACAAAAATTGAATTTTATGGCTCCCAACACACTTGGATTATAAAATGATAAAACAAGAGTTTCATTATGTTGGAACACATTGGAAATTAGAATAAGAAAATAATAAACTTGTTTTTGTCGTTTCTTAGCTTTCTATACCATTTTGAGAATATTTTTAGAGAAACARAAAAGGTAAATAGCTGTCAAATAATCATGTCTTTTAATAAAATTAGAACAAACAAAAACGTTACTAAACACGTCTTAAAAAAACGAAGTCTACAAAATTTCAATTCAAAAATAAGAAAACAAAAAACAAACAATTATCAAAATACATTTATGTTTTTTTAAACATAAATTATTATTAAAAACATTGTTGTTTCTACTTCTAGAAAGGTTAGAAATAGAAACAAAAACAAAATGTTACAAAGAGGTCTTAATTTTTTATTTGATTTAAATATTATTTTGGTTATGCTGTTCATTTTGTTTTGTAATTTAGATACAAATTCTATACACATCCAAATGATAATATATTGAGTGTAATTTCATGCCGACATTTTGATTGAAAAAATGAGGCAAAAAAATCAATACACACTTTTCAATGGTACGTAACCAAAACGAAAGCTTAAATTATATAAGACAAAAATAGATAAGTAAATGGATTAAAATAAATAAAAAAAGAAAAACAAGACCAAAATAATATTTAAAACTTAATTGATGATTTGACGTGAAGTAGGAAAATTGAGCATTGGTTGCTAAGAATAAATACCCAAAATTGGTTCAAAATTAATTTGGGTTTCGAAAATGTCAGCAAAAACCAAAGAGGAAGCAAAATGAAGGAGGTATATAAACAGCCCAGCAGGAATCCCAAAGGGTTGGAGAGAGACGGGGAGAGAAGAGGAGAAGAGGAGAAGAGGAGAAGACAGATATTATCGATTAACGCGAATTGGGAATTAGGGTTTGGTGTGGGTGCTGGTGATCTTCCGCTTCGGGAACCATGGCGACGGGGAAATCACCTACGCCGGCATCGCCGGAGGTGCAGCAGAGCAATGCGGAGGCGCGGCCAGGCCTGAGGAAGCCAGTCTTCGTGAAGGTCGAGCAGCTCAAACCTGGCACAAATGGTCATACACTCACCGTCAAGGTTGTTACCTCCAATACCGTGTTGCAGAAGGGTCGATCGGTGTCCCAGCACCTCCGCCAGACTCGGATCGCTGAGTGCCTTGTTGGGGACGAAACTGGAACCATTTTGCTCACTGCGCGTAATGACCAAGGTATGGATTTTGGAATCTCTTCTTGCTGTTGGGTTTCATGAAAATTGGGGAAGACGGGAGGATGTTGATTTTTTTCTTATGTGAATTCGGAAGAGAAAATCAGTTATTGTTTGGATCGCAGCTGGGAAGGCGAAATGAGTGATTGATTATATAGCTCAGGATGTTTGAATTATTTACCCCATAGCGATTGAAATTTGACATTTTCGTGCCCTTATAAATCTGAGTTTGAATCAGTGAGATAACACGGATCGTGCGCCTGTTGCGATATGGGTTTTGGAGGATATCTTGGAAGGAGAAGTAAGAGAGTTGAAGGATTAGTGTTTCCTCACTGCTTAAATTCTTCTTCTTCTTTCGATATCTGCAGTCTGAACTGGATGGGGACATGAAAAGAAGAAAGTTTTCTCCTATATTTTAGTTGAAGACTACTCTACTTAATTTTCAGCGCTAGCTTCGGTGTTGGATTAAGAATCTGGAAAGAATTAAATCTCCGTGGTTTCTTGCTCTCGAATTATTATTTATTCATAAGCTGCAGCTTGTTTCAAGCTGACTTTGTTATAGAAGGTATGCCAATTAAAGATTTGAATTAGGACTCCAAGTTAGATTAGATGTTCATTCATTTCATTACTGATCTGTGGCCGATCAAGTCTTTTAAGCCTTGAAATGAAATTGCTGCAAACAATAACGATGATACACGTTCAACCAATTTTTTTATGGTTACCATACACAATATGTAATTTTGTTTTCTTGGTCACTGTAGCATATAAACTCCTCTATTGTTTTAACGGCATTGTCTTGTTTTCTCAGTTGATCTAGTAAAGCCCGAGACAACTATCATTATCCGGAACGCGAAGATTGACATGTTCAAAGGGTCTATGAGGCTAGCAGTTGATAAATGGGGCCGAATCGAGCTCACTGAGCCTGCAAACTTCGTCGTCAAGGAAGACAACAATCTATCTTTAGTCGAGTATGAACTTGTGAATGTTGCAGAGGAATGATAAGGGCCTATTAAAGGCCAACTTAAGCATACAATAGGTTGAGATGACTGGTCATCGAATTTCCTGGTAATCTGCTGATGTGAATATATAACAACACTACATTATAATTTTGTGTGGGTGAAGTATTTAAACGAAAGAATCCGTTTCATTTTGTCTAAACTTGTCGGTATGACTTATGTGAAGCCATGTTTTGTCGGGTATAGGTATGAATAGGTAGTAGTTTGGTTCTTCTTATGACTCTGGAAATGTAATCGGGCATCAATGATGACGAAAAATGCTTTTGGTATAGCTCTGATATTGTATATAACATGCAGAGTTGTCAATTTGCTGGGCATGTATTCTTATCGAGTTATTGCATATTCTCTCCTGGCAATTCATATATTATATGCAGGTTCTGGATAGGAAGTGTTATTATATTCAAGCTTAGAAGGTGGTTTAAGGCAACAGCAAAAATCCTGGTACCAAAATCAAAAGGTAAATTTGCATCAACTTTAAACAAGCATTAGCTAGTTGTGTAATGGATCCCTTTACTTACTGCTTGCATTCTCAAATTGTGAAACATTGGAATTTACCATTAAACCTCTCCATCACTCTGAAAGCAAGTTAAGAGTGATAATCGATCGAACTGCCCTTTAGATAGCGATGGCTCGGGCCGATCTCTCCTCTTCTTCATCTTCCGTTGTGTCGTTCCTTGCACGTCTCTACTTTTCTGCCGACTCCAACTCCATTTTTCTCTCCAGATGATGATGAGATCTTATTGTTAATGCCCAAATCTAGAGTCTTTTTGAACTTGAAGTCATTCTCAGAACAGGTAGAGCTACAATCAAATGATGTTTTGGCCAACAAAGCGAATCTGTGCTCCTTAATTTAATGTATTAAGGGAATCTGAAAAAAAAATTTCAGAAGTTCAAATGTTGTTTAACATTTAATGATTGATTTGTTATTTTTGTTTGATTTATAACTTCAATAATATTTAAGTGCCCTTCTATTATCCCTTTTACCCACTACATTTCGTTCCTCCTTCCATCTTAATTTTTGATAATTTTTAATAGGTTTATTTTTGTTTCTAAATTTTGAAAACATACCTGGGACCAAATAAAAACTATTTTCGTCACTATTATTTTAATAACATGTAATAGTGGGATCGAACTCACAACTTTAGAGATATTTGACAATTATCTTTGAGTTATGTTCATTTTGACTAACTTAGATAGTTTATTTATAATATGTGCAATTTTTTAAATTTAATTTCAACAATTGTGGAGATGGAGATCAGACCATCGATTTCTACAATGTTAATAAGTGTTTTATCTACTAAGTTGTGCTCAACACATCTACATTTGTTGGCAATTAACAACAAAATAATAAAAGGAAAAAAGGAAAAAATTAGCTTTATTTTTGTAAAAAGAATTAGAGTTAAATTGATATTTTAAAATTCACAAGATAAATATTGTTTTTAAGTATTAAAATGAATAGTAATAATAATACTTCATAGCTTATATCATAAAGATTGCTCTTACATGTTACATAACGAAAATTGAAAAATTGGATGATAAATTATATATAAAAAAAAGAATTATTATTTTTTTGTTTAGTAAAAAATGCAATATATAGGTTACGACCGAGTTCTCCAAAATTCGAACCATTTTCTTTCACCAAGTGGGTACTCTCTTTTCGCGCTTAAACTAACCATCGCCGGAGGAATTTCGGCGATTTCTTCTTCCGAGACTACTGATCCTCGTACGGCAATGGCGTCGACTTCTGATACCCGTTCAAGTGCCGTTTCGGGCAGAATCAAATCCGCTGCCACTATGATGCACTCCGAGAATCAGTCCCTGCTTGCT